GAAGAGGTTCTTGTTTTAAAAAGAATTGAGATTTAAAAGGTTTTTGTGAATATTGGTGCAGAGTATCGATGCTTCAAAGCTGTAAACATTTGATTGATTAAATCTTGGCGACATTTAAGAACTGAAGTGTTTCTGATGTTTAACAAATAAACTGTTCTCTAACGAGTCTGTGTTCACTGATTAATAATAAAACACATATTTACAGTTTACACACAAATAATCCTGCAGGAGACAGCACTAGTGCAATATTATATTTATTTCTTACAGTGAATTTTGGTTGCCATACAAGAAGTAGTTTTGAGGAATTTGGAGGGAAAAAGGGAGGAAGAGTGCTTTTACAGAAAAACATCCTCTTTTTGTTTCAGTAATTAGTCGACTCTAAAATGATTTATTAGCACAAAATTACAGCAACATAGAAAACATGAACACAAGTTCTTCCACAAATTACCAAAAACATCTTAGCCTCTATGAAGACTTAAAGAATAAAACCTATTCATGAGAAAAGAAAGAGAAACTAAAGGAAAGATTTACCCAAATGTTGGACGATGAGAAAGTGAAGGAGAGTGGAAGTGGGTCAGTGGGCCTGGTGAAAACATTCCTACATCTACTCAGCTCTACGTTTCCACAGAAAACTGCAGGGAGGTCTAATCTGCTGCGTTCACACACGTAAGGGTTCCTATAGCTTGGCCCGAAGACTGAAAAATATACATTTTGCTCAGTTTATTCACAAACTTTAGTTCTGAGGATCTGACAGGAGAGGTCGACTCAGGCAGGCGCTGTTGGTGTGCTCGCTTCATAGAGATTAAAGGGACAGTCTGGTTAATTTACAGGGATGTTTCATCAAATATTAATCAACAGAAGCTCATCAGTCAGTCTGAAGAAAACAGGAAAAGATTATTTCAGGCCAGGTTAACGGCTAACCAAACAAGCACCTTTTTGTTTTTCAGGTTTTTAAAACAACTTTCTCAAAAACAACACTTGTAATGTTACTTTTAGAAACAACAAATAGTTCATCGTTTCTACAAATGTTTTCGTCCACAAGGAAACAACCACTGCAGTACCTCCTCCAGACCTGTGAGAGGCACTGTAAGATCTTGACGTTGCAGTACCTCCTCCAGACCTGTGAGAGGCGCTGTAACATCTTGATGTTGCAGTACCTCCTCCAGACCTGTGAGAGGCGCTGTAACATCTTGATGTTGCAGTACCTCCTCCAGACCTGTGAGAGGCGCTGTAACATCTTGATGTTGCAGTACCTCCTCCGGGCCTGTGAGAGGCGCTGTAACATCTTAATGTTGCAGTATCTCCTCCGGACCTGTGAGAGGCGCTGTAACATCTTGATGTTGCAGTACCTCCTCCGGGCCTGTGAGAGGCGCTGTAACATCTTAATGTTGCAGTATCTCCTCCGGACCTGTGAGAGGCGCTGTAACATCTTGATGTTGCAGTACCTCCTCCGGACCCGTGAGAGGCGCTGTAACATCTTGATGTTGCAGTACCTCCTCCAGACCTGTGAGAGGCGCTATAACATCTTGACGTTGTAGTACCTCCTCCGGACCCGTGAGAGGTGCTGTAACATCTTGACGTTGCAGTACCTCCTCCGGACCCGTGAGAGGCGCTGTAACATCTTGATGTTGCAGTACCTCCTCC